GCCGACGCGCGCGAGCGGCGCCGCGAGGTCGCCCGCGAGCCGCGCGCCCGCGCGCGAGGCCCCGCCGCCGCGCCACGTCGCGAGCGCGCGCGCGCTCCTGACGCGCTTCGCCGCCACCCGGAGCTCCGCGTCGCGCGCGAGGCGCAGGGCCGCGTCCGCGTACCGCGCCTCGAGCGACGCGCGCCACGCGTCGTCGCCGTCGTCCCGCGCGCGGCCGCTCGGCCGCGCGTCGAGGGCACCGCCGAGCTCCGCGAGGGCGGCGCTGCGCGAGGCCGCGCCCCAGGCGGCGACGTCGCCGTGGTCCAGGGACACGTCGAGGTCGCCGTCGTCGGGCGCGAACCAGCGGCGCGCGGCGGAGCGGCGCGTCCGCGGGCCGGCGGCGCAGGACGCGACGAGGAGCACGATGATGCGCGGTCGCATGATTCGACGTATGCGTCGCGTGGTGCGCGAACGCTCGGCGTATGCGTCGTCACGAGGCGCTGCTCTTTGCTGCACGTGTGAGGATGCGAACGCTTGGCGTATGCGTCGTCACGAGGCGCTGCGCTGCCTGTTGATGAGGGCCATCAGCCACGGTTTGGAAAGGCACGGCATGGTGCTGTGAGCGCAAACCCCGTATCCCACGCCAACGCCCCGGGGGCTGCGCATCGATAACAGCTTCCCGGCCGTCCGCCCGCGTCGTCCGTCTTGGACGCAATCGCGATGGCCGACGCGGCGGCGGCGGCGGAGGCGACGGATGACCTCGACGCGACGGCCGTGGCCGACGTGACGACGGCGCCGGAGCTCGACGACGGTGCGCCGGCGAACGACGGCGACGACGCCGGCGCCCTCGAGGAGCCGGCCCTGCTCAAGACGCGGTTCCGCCTCAGCGGCTTCGAGAACGAGAAGGACGAGAACCTCGTGCGGCTCGACAACCTCATGCGCTTCGTCTTCCCCGAGGGCCTGCAGCACCCGCTGTCGACGGGGCGGCTCTACGCGTTCGGCTTCTACGGCCCCCTCGACCGCAACGCGCAGCTGCGGAGCGGCCACAAGGGCCAGCACGTCGTGAGCCGCTGGGAGCTGGACACGATGTGCGCCCAGTTCGAGCGCGAGGACGTGCTCCAGGTCTACATCCTGCCGGGGCGGCCGCTCGCGGTGCTCAGCGAGCGGCAGCAGGACGAGCTCATCGCGCAGGCGGACCGGCGCATCAAGGCCCAGACGGGCAAGGGCCTCATGCCCCAGCTCCGGCGCGACGACGTCGCCGACATCTTCGACGACCTCGAGCGGTCCGACGACGGCCGCGTCCGGTTCCACGAGATGCAGCGCGCGATCATGGCCTTCCGCGAGGACCGCGTCGCGAAGCTCAAGGTCATGTACCCCAAGGTCACGCGCCGGGCCCCGGAGAAGAAGAGCGCGGCCGTGAGCTTCGAGGCGACGGCGGAGCGCCGCGGCAAGCGCCGGGGGCGCGTCTCGCCGGACGTCGCGCCCCCGGAGATGTTCCTGCGGAACAAGGGCATGAACAACAACGCCATCTCCGCCTACACGAACCGCCTCCTGTCGACGCGGGCCTACAAGATCTGCGACATCGAGAGCGGCAACTCCGCGGAGCTCACGTCGAACGTGCGCCTCATCCGCGAGAACCGGCCCGCGCGCGAGGTCGGCGACCCCTGGAACA